CTAAACCCCAACCTCAAATGGTAGTTTCCCAAAATAAAGGGACCCTAACATAGACCCCAAAATACTATAATCCTTATTATGGGGACCCCCAAAAAGGTACCCCTAATTTTGGGAAACCCCAACCCCTATAATCCCCTATATATCCCAGTTTCCATGTCATTGTCCATGTTCTTTTCCATTTGATTCTCCACTGTAGGCGGATAAAGTCTAAACCGCAATGTAGTATCTCAATTTACGTTCCCCAAAAGGGTACCCCTAATTTTGGGAAACCCTAACCCCTATAATGCCCCATATGTCCCAGTTTCCATTTCATTTTCCATGTTCTTTTCCATTTGATTCTCCACTATAGGGGGGGTAAAGTTTTAAACCCCAATGTAGTATCTTAATTTACGTTCCTCAAAAGGGTACCCTTAATTTTGGGAAACCCCATATGTCCCAGTTTCCATTTCATTTTCCATTGGATTCTCCACTACAGGGGGATAAAGCCTAAGCCCCAACGTAGTATCTTAGTTTGAATAATATTAATAATAGTAAAAATAGTAGCAATGATAAAAAGTAATAATAGTGATAATGATAATAATAATAATAAGTTTTGGGAAACTCCCAATTTATTCAGACAGGGCTCTGCTTCCGGTTTGGGCGGGGGGTCACCCGTGCTGGGCACGACCACCTCCTCCGGCTCCACTTTGGTCTTGGATTTGTTCATTTGCTCCACGTACTCCCGGAGCTCTTTGTTTAAGGGGGTACCCGTTTTTTGGTACCTCAGCAGACGGATGCGCGTTGCTGGCTTAAAACCGGGCACCACGAAAGAAGCAGCAGTCCAGCACGCTCTGGAGACACACCCATCATTCAGAACTCTTGGGAGTTCGTACGCCTGAGGTAAGCACGCCCAAATATTCAACGGCCTGTTGACGAACATGAAGCAGACATAACCTGAAGCCGAAGGAGTGTAGATTGCAGGACATATTCAGAGCAGGCACTGATGAGGAGAGGACAGATGTACAGAGCGAAAAGGATGCCTGCCTTGGTCATCAAACGATCAAAGCACTGCCATGGCCAAGTGCATACATGACTTAGTTGACTTGGCACACGTGCACAAGCTAATCATTGAGTGTCATCAGCATGCGGCCTCCCATGCTGCGATGCTTTGGTTGTAGGTAAAAGCAGCTAGCACGCCAAGGGAGATGATGTAAAAGGTGCAGTCCTGGCCGCGAAAGCATTCGACTGGTCTTCGGGTGTCACTTCAACAGCCTACACACCAAAAGCTGTGACTCAACTCGATGGAATGCATATCACCCTTCGAACTGTTCTGCAACACTCTCTGCATTTTTTTGTGAATGAAGAGAAGTGATTCTGGCGCCCATTTGTCCCGAAATAGTGGCCACCAGGTGAGCTCGATGTTTCCCTTTGCCACGTAGCCGCACCTTAGCTTCATGGTGCGCCATTTCTGGTTTTTGTTGCGGAGGTGCTTTGTGCTCTCGAGTGCTGCCGTGGGGCAAGCCAATGACAAAGAGCACGTTGAACACAGCAGACCCAACTATGGTGCCGAAGCCCACGTCATTCTGTGCCTCTGCCAGGGCGCTTCAAGGTTTACCCGTTTGGCTGCTGCTGCGCATTCAGCACCTCAGCATTCCTGTGATGATGCATGTTTGTCCATCCCTTCGAGGTGCAATAGTAGCGCCAACCATTGACGTGAAGAATTCCGGTGCTGACCCGCCAGCTGCCATCCACGTTGCCTCAGACTATCAGGTGCAAGCGCAGTAGACGGTGGTCCTGAACTGATGAATATCGTGCGCTTGAGGCTGACATGATCCCGAACTTGGCGTAATCTCGTTGTAGTGCTGACGGACGAAAACCGATAAGAAGAATGACCCAAGTCCCATTGGTGCCGCTCGTCTCCCAGGTTGGAAATACTATGGCAAATACTGAAATGCTACCAGGAAGATAAACAATGCCATGGAGTGAGTTCCTTTCGTCCTCTTTGCAGCGAAGCTGCGCCAGCAACATCAGGCGTCAAATTCCAGGCATCACAAAGCACGTCGATGGCTCCCGCAAAGTATACGTCACAAACAGTATTCAACCCGAGAACCAGGTAGGCCTCAATTGCATCCGCAACTCAGTAAACCCTTCAAGCCTTGCAATTGGCCGTCGGCAACTCGCAGCAAAAAGCTGCTAGCTCAAGGCATCTGAGCTGTCGGCGATGCCTACGCAATGAAGAAGCACCAAGAATTTTCTGCCTTCGAGAGAATTCCATGCTTTGGACGCGGGGCAAATCTGAAATGGAATGCAGCATGTTGCTCCAGATCGGCTGCTGCAAATGTTGGTATTCACTCCAGTGTAGTGATGTGGCTGTCGTATCTATTGCCAGGCTTACTGGCTGATTATTTTTCCATTTTGTTGCTCCTGGTATTCTTGATAAAGACTGTCTTGTTCTGGCAGCAAGCGGACCCGACCTATAGGTTCATCCTCATATGGCTGGTTGAGGAGCAAGTCGGGCGGATATAGCTTGCCAGGCTCCTCGGCTCCCAGAGCAGGGATAACGGCAACAAGGAGAGAAGTAGCGTAACAGCAACCGCTTCAAAGATTATTGCTGGGCTAGGGGTAATGGAAGTACGAAAACCTGGCGGCCCAGCTAGGCCCAGACTATAGCAGATCCACACCAACATGGTAATTCCGGCAGCAGATCTTTAGCTTTTGCCAGAGGAGCTGTTGTGGTGGTGGCGTCATGTGCATGTAGTCTCCGGCTCACGCCTGTGGGAGGAGCATGATGCAATCCCTGGCTGGGATCTCAGGGCACACACAGTGTGAGTGATGCATCCTAGCTCGCAAGATGGTGCATCATTAAACTGCCGAATTGCTACTGTATCAGGATTGGTTGTCATAGGCCTTGAACTAAAGTCTACGGAAAGAACAACTGTGCATGAGTGGGTTGGGCCAACTACTTTAAAATAAATCAACATTGCCAAGGCGCTTTGTGGGTTGTGCCACAAATCCTGCCAACTCCGACTCTTCTTGCACGGCCAGTACAAAAAGATAATGCTGGCAATTCACTGGCAAGCCGGCAAGCCCATGCAGCAAGCATAAAGCAGCACTGGCAGTCTGGCCTGTGCTAAGGATATCAGAAGGAAAGAGAAAGCAACACCTCAGCACAACTCATGGTTTCCAACTGCACGGCATGTCATCTTCACACATTTCCGTAGTGTGCCACCCATGGCCGATGCCTCTATGCCTGAGGCTCGCTCCGAAGGAAGAGAGAATTGTGATTTTCCTTCGCTGGAAAGGTTCCAAGCGTCGTAAGGCCTTGCGATTGAAACATCACGCAACATCGGATTGCAGACTCACAGGTGTCTACGCTTGCCCACCTTTCTGTTGAAGCCCAGAAGGCCCATCACAGCAATGCCGTAATCGTCCTGACTTACATGCTCAGGCCTTGCGGGGAGCACTTGCCGACACGCATCAGGCCCTCATCAGTCCCTCATGAATCATGAAGGTCAATTTTGTCTTCTTACTTGGACGAAGCTGCGTGAAGAAGGTTACCCGTCCTCTGCCCGCCGGCCTCTTTGAGAGAGAGAATTCTCCTGAGCGTTGTTCACAAGGGTTCGACTACAGTTTTCCGCGCGTCTTGAAAAAGCATTGCGCTCCCGCAATGGTTGACGCCTGTTGATGACTTGGCATACAACTTGCATCCCATTCCAAGCAGCCCTTCCAGACTGCTTGCAGGGCAAGGCACTCCAGCAAGAGGGCGCGGGGGAATCTCAAGCCATCGGCCACATGTTTCTAGCTGAGCCAAAACATTTCGGAATATGCATCCACTGCCAAGGATTGTGTGGGGATTGCATGTGAAGGACTATCAGGCATAGCCTGCCAGCGGCCGCTTGAAAGCATAAAAACACTCGTCTCCAATATTCAAGTAGGTTTTGCATAGCTTTTGCCTTGGACTCCTCTTGGATCCTCCTGCGCCAAGCTTCTTAATCTCAAATCAACACCTGTGCCAGCAGAGCATGGTGGTCCTGACGTTATTGTACCTGAGGCGCAAGTTACTCTGCAGTTCTCTAAATCCCTACTCCGCGCTACATCTCACTACGTCCCGCAAAAGAATCATGTACATCTTGTCGCTGATAACCTGCTCACATCCACTTCCCAAGGCTACCTACCTCCTTTCGATCTGCAGGAAAACCACCAGTTGCAAGCATCGAATCCGGTTGACAAGCAGAATGGCTTCTCCCAGCGTACGCGCAACGATGAGAGCCTGGAAGACCCGAATTTCTGAACTGTGCAGGGAGAGCCTGACTTTCATCTCGGGCCTCGAGTCTCAGAAGGCCTCTGCCTGCGCATCGTCGAGTTCTGCTCTCTTCCGTTTCTTGTGGTGCAGAATGAATTTTGAAGTTGACAAGTTGCATCTCCGCTATCCGATTGTGCATTTGCTAGTACTTGACTAGGTTTGCATCTTGCCGGCCGCTGTCTTTGTACCTGCCCTCATCTATGTTGGACAATAACAGATCCCCAAGACCCACAGGAGCCCACAAACATACCCAACAAGAGGAGCTTTGGCAAAGCCGGGCTCGCTAGAGTCAGCCTGCCTCATGTCAGCACAAGAAGAGCAACAACATCTTAAGAAAAGCTCATCTGCTTTTGACCAGCCTGGGCTGGAGCTTTGTGAGATCACTGGAATGCGCTTCCATGAAGAGTGGTGAAACGTGTCTGAACTGACACCTGGCAGGTTTTAGGAAGCTCAGCTGCCAATCCCAGGCATCAGCAAGAAAACTTTGGAAGACAATTGCCAGCCCAAAGGGCCAGCTGCTTGGCTGCTGCAGTGACAGCATAAACCCTACACATTCATACAAGGGCCTGAGCAATTATGATCGATTTTAGGACAGCTAACGATTTCAGGGGGAGGGATACAAAATTATCTTTAGGCCCACTGTATCATGCAGGACAAGATGAGTGTACCAAGCCTTGCCAATCTCAAACTTTGGGAGTTTCGCCAAATGAGGGCCCCTAGAGTCACCAAAGTGTATATGTAGATTCTTAGGGAGATCCGGGGTCCTTATTAGGTCTCCAGGAATGGAAAAGCATACACATGCACATAGAATAATGGTCATGAACCAGAGGACGTGGGCGCACTGGCATCGGTACATCGTTCATGCTCTGCCGACAGGTGGAGAATCAGACAGAAGCCAAGAGTTCTTGCAAGAGCTTGTCATCCGCCCTACAAGACATGTCTCTCTCCCTGATCATTCTCTAGGGTCGATTTTTTCTCATATGTGGACAATACGCATTTGATTCCCCATGCCAACAGACTCTGCGAATTGCGGCAGCTCCGCCGCCGCCTCGCTTCTTCGAAGCAAGGCTGGAATCATTTTCTAGGAATACTCCCACAGCGATCAGCTCAGCGGTGGGTTCGTCATTAGCCAAGTCGGTCTGGACAGCTCCACCACCACAGTTGTGATGATGAAGACGAAATAGAGGACCGCCATGCAGCCGCCCAGAAATTTGTTGAGCTTCCAGCCACAGATCTTGATGCTGACGACAGTTCCAAAGACCATCCCGAGCAGCAGGCAAGTGTAGAACATCAGATAGGGCGACTGGATGCTGACACCAGTGAATTCTGGGTTGTTTGCTTCAATCATGCACTTGATCAGCCAAGGAATCGGCAATCCGACCTTGGGAAAGGAGGCCCATTGCAATCTGCTTTGGCTTAGCATCTCCCTGCTTCCAATATAACATAATAAGTCCAAGTTGCTAAGATGTCAAAGATGTTGGAGCCGATTGAAGAACTAACTGCCATGTCAGCTTGTCCTGCTGACACAAAGGGTTTTCTGTATAAAATAGTGGGGATCGTATTGGACTGGCCATATGCGCAACTGCACCACGTCCTTTCCGCGCAACTGCCATGGAACTGACAGCGTCTGGGATAGACGTTGCTGCAGCCAGGAAGGTGACGCTAGAGACAATCGTTGGGATCTTAGAGAACAACATCGCGACACAAAAACCTACCACAACTGAAGGGCTCCATCCACAGCAACCAAAGGGTGCCATGGACTAACTCAGGCCGGCACCCCGACTACTTGCGCTACCTAAGTTGCCATCATCCGCCATGCAAGAAAAAAACGCATCACAGGCCTTCGTACAACTTGCTGAACCATTGCAGTCCCAGCTACTGTGTCGGTCCACCAAACCAACAGGAACGCAAAAAAGCCAATCCACACCAACGACCCAGCAAAGGTCAGCATGAAGAGCTTGGGGTTGGCGGGTCTTGGCCTCAGCGCGCTGGCTCTGACAGCTGTTCCGAGCATGAGCTGCTCTCTTCCGCATGAAGCTAAGCATGTTTTTAACTGTAGTCTCCCCTAGACCTCCAATAAAAATAGTATTTCTAATAATTCCTGACGGTTATACTATAACGGAAAGTAATTGTAATTCCTAAGGAGACTACAGTTTACGACCAGGCATCAGACAGGGAGTAGTAGAGACAGACGTAGACGGGCAGGCCCAGGGCCCACAGGATCCGGTCTTGCCTGCCTGTTTAGGGTTTAGGGTTTGGGATTTCAAAAGATTGAGGCAAAAGTTTGGCCAAATGTCTTAAAAGGATTTAAAAGGCATCCAAGACTAAGACGGAGCCGCCCACACCCTAAACCCTGAATAGCATTTTTTTTGCATTCCCTAATATTACCCCCTATATCCCTTCATTGAGGGTACTACTCCTCTTCCCTAATCCCCAAACCCTAAACCCTAAACCCTGCATACTATAGTAGTTTCCATTATCTTTTCCATTATCCACATAATCGCCATCCCCAAGCCTTCTGGCATGATCATCAGATCCTCTGGCTCGTCATCATCGTCATCGTCATCCTCTTCGCCCCCCTCTTCCGCATCGGCAGTAGCCTCTGCTTTCTCTACATCCTGTGGCTCCTCCTGTTGGGCCAACGATGAACACATGCCACGCTTATTCCGGTCGCTCGCAATTTAAGTCCTTGTCCGCTGATGGCGCCTCTGGGTCCACCTCAGCATCGCACAGCAGCTTCTCTCGGTTTTTCAGACAAAGCAAAGCGCGCTTTGAATGAAAGCATGAAAGCATGGATCGATGGGCCTTGGTCACTATCCTGTCTTCCTTGAAGTAATTGTCTTTCGCAGGCTCAGGATGGTCCGGATCAGGTTCAGGCGCCTCAAAATGCTCGTAAGACCGCACGCAACTGCGCGGCATGCTGTAGCACAATACCGCCATGGGAACAGTAAGTGAGTCCGGAACTGCTTTTGCAGGGCCCTCTTCTTCTGATCCACCCACCTTAGCGATGATCGAAGCAACAGTCAAGCCTTTTCCTACCAACTCTGGAAGCATCCGTTTTTGCTAAGCCCACCTGTTCAGGCTCAACCTTGGCCGCTGCCTTCGCCTTCTCCTTCTTCATTTCTTCGACGTACTGGCGCAGCTCCTTGTTCAAAGGGGTGCCTGTCTTCTCGTACCTCACCCGCACTGACGACTTCAGGCTCAAAGACAGCAAAAGCAAATTGAATGCCGTTATCAACATCATCTGCTTCTTTTCCTCCGCTCCACTCCAAGTCTCAAGTTGCTTCAGCCAAGCTACGCCCAAATGTTTAAAGGTCTGTTGATGAACATGAAGCTCACGTAGCCTCAACGAAAGATCTAAATAGAAAACGCACACAAGAACAGGGCTCCACCATGTTACGTAAGGTCAGGGCCCACGTATAAAGAAAACAGAACGACGGCCTGCAAAGCATGGCCACCCAAACTGGCAGCGACGTACGAAGCAAAGCAGCCCACAATTTCAGTGTCATATGGCCCTCCTCCCAAGGAGCAATCGTCTGGTTGTACGTGAAGGATGCCAGCACTGCCAGCGAGCAAATGTAATACGTGCAGTCCTGCAGCAGGTTCCGATTGTTGACATGTTGTGCAAAAAGATACAGCAAGTGGAAGCACATTGCCCACGAAGTCCCGAAACAGCGGCCACCAAGTCAGCTCGATGTTTCCCTGGGCCACATATCCGCACCTCGAGAATTATGCACTATGCCACCTTATGAGCTATAGTCTAAACTCCGCACAGGGAAGTTATGTAAGCGATTATCTAAGGGACTACTATAAGGGTTACTGTACTGAGCTTAGACTAGGGCTCTGATGATGACACAGGCCATTCTTAGTCTCAACCAGCAGCTGTGGCATACTGGTGTGACGTTCAGGCGGCTCTTGGATGCTGCCAAAGAGGCAGACCGATCACAAAGAGAACGTTGAACACAGCCGACCCAACAATGGTGCCGAAGCCAACATCATTCTGTGCCTGCTGCGAGCTCGGTTGAAGGGTGTATATAGGTGTATTTTGGGGTTATACTGGGGATATTCTATAGGTTATATAGGGAAAATAGAGAAGAAAATGGAAACGTAGTTTAAGATTTAGGGTTTAAGGTTAAGGGTATAGGCGAACAGTCTTCAAAGCCCTCCGCTCCCACAGCTACACTGCAGCAGTCTGTGATGAGGGAAGTACCACTGTAGCGCCCACGATGGAGGTGAAGAACTCGGGTGCTGATCCACCAGCTGCCATCCAGGTCGCCTCAGCTTTGTGGTGAGATAACTTTGCAAACTCGAAAATCGGGGTTTTCCCAAAATCTGTGGTTGCGAAGGGCTGTGGACGGATTTAGGCGGAGAACTGCAAAAATTGCCC